ATAGGTACTCATGAAGTATAAATCATTTTTTAAATGTAATATGTATAACAAAATAGGAACGAAGTAGATTGTCATAAAAAAGAGATAAGCTAAATCATAAGATTTGTATTTGCTAAAATAATTATTATTATTGCTGACTTAATTTGATTTAACTTGAATTTTTTTAAATATTTTTAAGTGGTTTTTGATAAAGAAAATTTCTATCTTAAAAATTTTAAAAACTAAATTTCAGCAAAAAAATCTGAGTCTTATTCCATTAAATTARAATTTCCATACTTATAAATTTTTTTATTATTATTAACTTCTAGTATACAACTAAAATAGTTCATCAATTATAAAATTTTACATAATACAACATCATATAATACATTTAAAATTATATAGTAAAGCCAGCATCCAATATAAAAGAAATTACAATTTTAATGGCAGATGCGGATTTTATGTTAAGTATATGGAGTGCCTGGAGTGGATATTAAAAGAGATAAGCTTGGTTAGGTTAGTTTTTACCTTAAATCAATTAAATTATAACATTCACTTTTTTTGGGTTCCCAGTCGTACAGGCACACGGTAATAAAGTTGCAAACCATCTGGCTAAATCTTCATCCGAACTTATCTGTCCTTCTTCTTCTCAATTCTCACATTCGGACTTCACCTCTCTGATAAAACAATACTCCACCAACATRTGGCTCTCTTTCTGGAATAATCAACATGTGGGCTACACCTCAAGATATAGAACTATTACACATTTACACCTAATATCCTTAAAAAAAACCTGGTTTAATACACTTACATAGACCATCATTTATTGTAAAATTCAATAGACTACGCATAAGACATCATTGTCTACCTAGCCACTCATTCAAACTTGGCCTTAATGATTCTCTATACTTGTAAGTTATAGGTTATAACTCTAAAAGCTAGTTAAAAAGTAAGTTATTTCTTATTACTATAAATAAACCGTATTTGAATACCTTGATTTTACATGTAGAATTGTAGATACTTTCATTTTAATAGGGTGATAGCATTGATTAAATATAATATTAATRTAATCAATATGGTATAATATTTAATCAATGGCGATAGATATAGGAGTTTTGGGACACCCTATATAACTGTATAATAATTATTTGTATACAAAATAGATTCAATGCTATTGCCGCGTCGGCAACGCGGGACGACTGCGCACTGGTTTTGATTCCCTCCAATCCACCTCCGACCCATGGGTTGCCCTTGACTTCCTCGGAGTCATAAATGATGACGATACTATGATTGCGATCTCAAACCTTTATCAAACTCAGTAGTCAGTACAATATATATTTCATATAGCTATATAAATTGATGATATACGTGTGGATATAATGAGGAGAACTTTATTATAATAAATTGCTACAATTATTGGTAATTGGTNTAATCAATATGGTATAATATTTAATCAATGGCGATAGATATAGGAGTTTTGGGACACCCTATATAACTGTATAATAATTATTTGTATACAAAATAGATTCAATGCTATTGCCGCGTCGGCAACGCGGGACGACTGCGCACTGGTTTCGATTCCCTCCAATCCACCTCCGACCCATGGGTTGCCCTTGACTTCCTCGGAGTCATAAATGATGACGATACTATGATTGCGATCTCAAACCTTTATCAAACTCAGTAGTCAGTACAATATATATTTCATATAGCTATATAAATTGATGATATACGTGTGGATATAATGAGGAGAACTTTATTATAATAAATTGCTACAATTATTGGTAATTGGTGTATAGTGTATACTATAATATATACTATTATATTAAAGTACTCAGTGGCGCCGAATCCTATGTTAAGGTCAGGCCATGGCCCGACATATTTTGAAAATTTAATATAGGGCCGTTTCATATTGACCATTTTCCTCTCCACGGTATGCCATTTTTTCCGATATTAAGATGTTGGGCCTCTTGAAATATTTTTCGCTCTACTAGATTYTTAGGACTTCTGCGCCACTGAAAGTACTTTACTAGTGTCTAGTRMCTACTACCTACATTATAAAATTATTGGTAGGAATTATCTACTTGGCTATTTATATTACAACGCACAACGGAGAACACTCCGTTATACTTGAATATTTCATATTATTGTTAGTAACAAACATTAAAAACATRACGTCTACACTCTACAATACATGTATAATTGAATATTAATAATTGTATGTTAACTGAAATATCTACCTATGTACCCGCCCGTAAATCAGTGATGAATAATGATACTAAATAGTGAATTGTCAATTTATTGTGTTATTTGGCGTTATCGTTATTGCTTGGAGTTGTGGTCATAAAAAATTATTTTCCTATTGTATGTTTATTGTTTAATCTAGGGTAATGTCAGAAACTCGATACAAGACGTTACGGCTTTAAAATATAAAATCAAAGTTTATTGCATACCCTCAAGTATATACTTAATTTATTCTTCTCGGTATCAACTAGTTTATAACAAGGCCAGCCCATTTACTTTTTATAGTGCCAACTTCCTATACCATAAGTCTATAAATGTAAATATATATTAGGTTATTTTTATTTTAYGATTAAATAACACTATCGTATTAATAATAGTTAAAAATAATAGTTAATAATAATTAAAAAGTTAATTAATAGCAATACCTATACCAATAAATATATTATGAAATATAAGTACAGTCCTTGGTATTGACTGACAGGCCWCCCCCCAGAGTTATTTTTTGACTTTCACACCAAAAAAGCTATCGAAGTTTAAAATCGAAACATAATTTCGACCACTTATCGTATATACATTCACAAAAAAATAAATAACACACATTATTGTAAAATCAATACACTATTTAAAATGTTATGAAAAACATGAATATAAAAAAATATTATATTTGTAAATATTATAAAAAGGATGTATTATTTTTGACAAAATGAGTGGAGGGATGGAATATGTAAATCATAAAAAGTTGAGAGATGATATCCCATTGTAGTCCCGACTCTTCAACCATTACCTATGGTTGATAAAATGTTAAATTTTCAAAATATATTGACTTATTTTGAGCTGTTTACTGATATTTTCAGTTTTCAATTTTTTAAGTTTTTTCTGCAAATGCCAATAAGATTTTATTCATTGGATCGAAAAGCTTGAAAAATAAACACAAGGTTCCTGATATATTGTTACAATAGWAGTTGAAAATTATTAAAAATATATATACATGATTTTTTTATAGGCATTTAAATTTTAAAGTTCGAAATATGACATAATTTATCAAAATTATGAATGTACACATTATTTTGTAGTTAAAAATGTGTCAGATGTTCAACTTTTATGACTAAGTATTGACAATTTAAAACAAAGTTCCACGTTAGTAGGTTATTATTCTGTATAACCCACCAAAAWATCTAAAGTATACTACCACGGGTTTTTTTATATTTATTTTATGTTCAAATTTGGACGAAATACTTATTATAAATAATCAAAAATAACGATTTAAGTTATTTTGTTGTAATTTAAAAATAGTAAATATCATTCTTGATTACTTCTAAATTATAGTATTATATATAAAAAAATATGATATGCAAATAATATTAATTCAATCTACCAATTGCCGTACTCGTACATAT